CTTCTGCCTCAGCAATTACTGGGATTAAGGCACATGCCACAACACTTGGCTAAATTAACTTTATGAGTAATTTTTCATGCAATTAATTTGCTCATGTATAGTAATATATCAACTATACAATGCAAAGCAGTTTATATAAATACATAAGAATAGCAGTGTAATTAAAAATTTTTAAAAGCATTCAAAACATTTTTTCATCAAAAGTAAAATTATTAGAAAATTACATTAATTTTTTTAAAATGATTTTTAGTAAAATTATTTGTGTGTGTGTGCATGGGTATGGTGTTGAGGATTGAACCTAAGGCCTTGTGCATGMTAGGCAAGCACTTTACCACTGAGCTACATCCCCAGCCCCAGAAATTAATTTTTGCTTAATAAGGGCAGTGAATTTTAACTAGCTACTATTTGTTCAGATATTATTGATAGTTTTTTCAGGATWTGGCATGATTAATGATGGGTTAAATAACCTCTATAGAATTAAATAACAAAATATACTCATTTTTGTTAATTCCCCAGAGAAGCATTGAGGATTAAACATAAATATTCACATGGGAGCCAGTGGCAATCAAGAGGCATATTGTAAACCACCTCTGCAGTATGATTTCAGGAACAAGCAGTCAATCAATTGAAAGTCCTCCAAAAAACTGCTATTTTTCATTGCTTTATAGTACTGTTATTGCATACATTTTGTGTATTTTCTATGATTTCATGCTGCTTGTAAGATACTAGAAAAACCCAATGAGAGAAATTGAATTTTTAAAGAATAAAATTCAGATAGGATTGAACGTTGAAGGGTCATAAACCATTATAATTAGCCATTAGCTAAGAAATTTTGCTCTTTTCTGAGCAATATCACACCCATTGAGGATACATGGTCTGAATAAATGCCGTCAGAAATTTTTTGTTAATTGGTTATATTGTTGGTGTGAATAAATTAGAGAATAATAGAAAGTGTACCTCTGGGAAATGTCCCACATGTGGGTAACTTAATATTCATGATTCATGTCTTTATAGTTTGTTTATATGTTTTTTTCCTTTTAAAATTGTTCTCCATTGTATTCACCAGTCTTTGCTCAGCTCCTTCCAAAGGTAAAATAAGTGCTCAAAAGAAAAGTTTGCCACAGTTGAGGCAATTGCAAAGAATGCACGCAATCTCTGAGCTGCATTATAGAAAGATGAATTAACTTCAAAATCAGAAAACAAACTTCATCTATGTGATCATAGGCAAGTATCTTAACTTGTTTAAAACTTATTTTACTTACATGAAAAAGGCCAATTATGCCTAATTCCAAATATTGATAAGGATTAAGAGATAAAATATGTGGAGCTAGAGATATAGCTCAGTGATAGAGTACTTGCATAGCACGTGTAAGGCCCTGGGTTCAGCACTCAGTACCACATAAAAGTAAATAAATAAAAGTATTTAAAAAGAGATAAAATATGTAAAAGGAGTGTGTGAATTATGAAGGTATATATACAAGTATTGACTATTACTATTTATAGTACATATGTTAACATCTGTTTACATTGCTATCTGTTATGCTTAAATAAAAATCAATAAGTTGACAGCAGAACTTAGCCATGGTGACTTCTGTGATAGAATGTTTTCCTCAGGAAATGCCTTTTCAAGTTGCAGTAAGCACTTAGCATCCTTTGATATATGACAGTTGCCCTCAAATTAATCTGAATTTCACTGAAGATCTTAACTGAAAAGTATAGTTTGGATCCTCCCTTTCTCAAGCATGATTTTTATAGTGTTGTATAGAAAAGATATTCTAAGACAAAAGGTAATGTCCAGTGTAATAAAAATGATGAAATAAAGGATATTTGAAGGCTACAAATGTAACACTGGACCACAAAAAGATTAGAAATATTAATCCATAGCAGTTCTGACCTCACACCCCAACTCCTTAAGTCTCCCAATTCCRGTTGAAGCCTTTCTTGAGAAAGTAAATAGAATCAGATGATGAACAGTTTAAAATGCAGCGAGGATACTAGGGATAGAGCTTAGTGGTAGCTAACATGTGAGAGCCTGAATTCAGTCCCCAGTACTGCAAAAGAAAATTAAATGACATAATATAAAATCAAATGCAAAGCCAGGCCAAGTGGCATATGCCTCTAATCCCAGCAGCTCGGAAGGCTGAGACAGGAGGATTGAGAGTTCAAAGCCAGCCTCAGCAACATCGAGGCGCTAAGGAACTCAGTGAGGCCCCATCACCCCATCTCTAAATAAAAAATACAAAACAGCACTGGGGATGTGGCTCAGTGTATGCGTGACACTAAGTTCAATCTCCAGTACCATAAATGAAATTAAAATAAAATGCAACTGAGAAGGTTTAGAAGTTCATCTAAGGAAATAGGAAACTTGCTAGATATATCAAAACCTTTATTAGAAATATCATTAGAATCGGGGCTGGAGTTGTGGCTCAGTGATAGAGCACTTGCCTGGCATGTGTGAGGCCCTGGGTTCAGTCCTTAGCACTGCATATAAAAAAATAAATAAAAGACCCATTTATAACTTAAAAATATTTTTTTTAAAATCTCATTAGAATAAAGAAAACTTTCATGTGGGAAAAGATTAATRTACACATTAAGTACACTGAATTTTGTTAAAGATTCTTTGTTATTTACAGTTACTCTGACTGAATTTTAGATCATATAGCATCTGAGTCAGTAGTTGTCGTAGGGTAGGTTTTATGAACTCAGTTGCCCTACCAGAGTATTTGAGTTGGTTTTTGGCCAGTTTCTTAAAGTGTTATCAACAGTCTCTTTTGAAATAATTAACTGAATAACTGGTGTTTCAATGATATAAGAATGTAAACTAATTTTGCTGGTCTTTCAAAGAAGTGGTGTTTGTTTCTTGTTTGTTTTCTTGTTGTTTGGGGTCCACAGTAGGGGAGGAAGGAAGGAAACGCACAAATGAATGAATGAATGAATGAACCATGGAAAAAACTACCAGTTCTTTTGAATGTGAGGTAATAATGTGAATGGCATTTATTCGGTAAAGGTAATGCCACTAGGAGTAAAATTCTGATTATTGACTGTAGGCCTCATCTCTAACCATTGAAAACTGTATTATAAAAATGTATTTAGTTAGGAGTACTGGAAGAAAGCACTTAGTATAGACATTTCATTGCTACTTTTAAAAACAAAACTCAGTTTACAGATTAACTTCACTTGAAAGATAGGTTGGAACACATGTTTATACACAAACTCATGATAAAATTAGCTTTTAACATTTATAAAGAATTAAGTTTATTTGAATTATCATATACTCAGGTTTTTAATATTTTATGTTCCAAAAACAGATGCAGTTACTTGAATGTATATATGTCCAGGCTTGTTTTTCTCAAGAAACTAAAAATTATTTTTAATACTAAGGAAATCTATTAGGAAGCTGTTCAATTTTTATAAACCATGTTGTTTCTTTTCTTTTACCTTTAGTTGTTTTTCCTTTGATCCCAAGTAGAAATATAGATAACTGAAAATATGTACTTTTTTTTAATACAGGGTTGAGACTGAAGTTGGTGACTACATGTTCTGCTTTGACAATACATTCAGCACTATTTCTGAGAAAGTAATTTTCTTTGAATTAATCCTKGATAATATGGGAGAACAGGCACAAGAACAAGAAGACTGGAAGAAATATATTACTGGCACAGATATGTTGGAGATGAAACTAGAAGATATTCTGGTTAGTATGATTTTTAATAAAATAATAAAAATTATTAATTTCAAAGGCCTTACTGTGTGATGGAAATTGATAACTAAGCATTTTTATTTATTATTCAAGAAAATATGTTTCTAGTATTTTCTTACCTTTGCCATAAACAGTTTGACATTTTAAATCTCAATCTTACTTTCTGTTCATATGGCCYTTATATCGTTTTTATTTTTTATTTTTTWAATTTATTTATTTTTTTCTGGTACCAGGGATTGAACTCAGGGGCACTTGACCACTGAGCCACATCCTCAGCCCTGTTTTGTATTTTATTCAGAGACAGGGTTTCACTGAGTTGCTTAGCACCTTGGTGCTGTTGAGGCTGGCTTTGAAATCCTCCTGCCTCAGCCTTCCAAGCTACTGGAATTACAGGCTTGTATCACCGTGCCCAGCTGTATCATTTTTAATAACTTGTTTCAACAGGACTCTATTATAAAAATATTTTATTCAGAAAATGTACAATTTAGAGTACATCTTTGTTAGACTTGTTTTATGAATATGATATTGGAATATTGATTATGATTTTGATTGTATAGTATGCACATCTAAAAATGGAATATTTTCTAATTTCACTATTCCTTTGTGAGATAAAAACATGGAGCTGGGCATGGTGGTGCACATCTATAATCCCAGCAGCTCAGGAGCCTGAGGCAGGAGGATCTTGAGTTCAAAGCCAGCCTCAGTAACACCGAGGTGCTAAGCAACTCAGTGAGACCCCATCTCTAAATAAAATACAAAATAGGGCTGGGGATGTGGCTCAGTGGTAGAGTGCCCCTGAGTTTAATACCTAGTACCCCACCCCACCCCTTTTCGTACAAAAAAAAAAAAAATAGTTGTAAAGGATAAAAGATAATTTATTCAAAATGCCACTCATATTATCTACTATCAACTAATAGTATCTTTGTTCCTTTTTAAGGTAGCTATAAACACAATAATTTAAATACATCAGAAGAATTATTATATAACCTTACAGCTTCTTTATGTAATAAAATAGCTATCCCTTAATTAAATCAAGTACCTGTGTATCTTGAAATTGTATTTAGATTGAAAAACTTAGCATAAAGCATATCATTAACTGAAAATATCTGAAATATTCTTTTATAGTAAAATAATTTTCTTTATCTTCAGGAATCCATCAACAGCATCAAGTCCAGACTAAGCAAAAGTGGTCATATACAAACTCTGCTTAGAGCATTTGAAGCTCGTGATCGAAACATACAAG